GAGCAGTTTATACTCGTATACTCTTTGGAGTGTTGAGAAGCAGTTTATACTCGTATACTCTTCGGAGTGACATGAAGAAGCAGTTTATACTCGTATACTCTTCGGAGTTAGGGGAAAACAGTTTATACTCGTGTCCCATGGAGTAAGGGGAAAACAGTTTATACTCGTGTATCCCATGGAGTTAGAGTCGTCTTTACTTGGCTTGTTTCGCCGTTATGACGCCGGAGTCAATTAATGCTTGGATTTTATTTTTGAGTCCGAAGCAAATCTCAGTGGGATGAAGAACCCTTTTGTGGTACGCACAGTAGTTTGGATCCGTAATCATCTTAGCACCCTCCTGATCTTTAATAGGCGGTAGCTCGATTTTATCATTGGCGAGGAGGTATTTCAAGATGGCTGGAGCTTCATCATCTTTGAAAGAATACTCCTTTTGGAACCTCGGATCGGGAGTCGCGTTCCCAGTGATTGCAGATGTCGTCGGTCGGCTTCTCTCAGTTTTCTTTCTTTTAAGAAAATGTTCAGCTTGTTCACCGCGCATTTTCAATTCTTTCCAAGTTTTGGATGGTACGACCCCCAGGGCTTCCAGGACATCGATAGAGAGATTATTGTGGCATGTTTGCAGGATGAACTCCTCTGTAACAGGATCTCTGTAATTCATTGCTTTGTCACGGAAGTGCTTGACAAAATTGTCGACTGACTCTCCGTCTTTTTGCTTCTCATCTAAAAGGGTTCCGATTGACACTTCGATATCATCATCGAAGAAGTTGCTGAGGAATAAACTTTCCATGTCATCCCAGCAATTGATGCTCCCTGGCTTGAGACGTCGGTACCAATCGAAGGCGGGCCCACGAAGGGTGCCAACGAATAACCGGACCATTAAAGCCTCGTTTCCAGAGATCATGCCCAAATGAGACTTGAAATAAATCAAGTGCTGAATAGGCGAGCTCTTCCCCTCAAACAGTGTGAAGTTAATCAGATTGAACTTTGCCGGATACGGTATTGAATCCCATTCTCTTGGATAGGGACACGGAATACCCGTCTTCTTTACTTCCTGAGCGGACATCAAAGCATTGACTTTATATTCAAGGTCTTGCATTTTCTTATCCTCATCTTCATCTCTTCAGCTCGCTGACTGGACTCAGGAGGTTGAGGCCGTTGAGTTAGCAATTCTCTCATTTGTTGGATAGCCAACTCCATCTCTGTCTTCATTTCAGCTCTAATTTCTTCACGTTGTTTGGCTAGAGCTTCTTGAAGTATTTGAACGAACTGATCAGAGTTTATTGTGAGTACTTCTCTGGTTTGTCCTGTGCTAGATACCGTATCATCCGAAGCGATCGCAGAACAAGTGTCCGAGAGCTCATCCTCTAATGACATTCCTTCATACATTCTCTTGTAGTCTCTACGTCTGATGGCTCCTATCTGGAGTCGAGATATCCGTTGAGCAATTCTTGAATTGACTTTTCCTTCTGGGGAAAAGTCGGGGTTTGATTCACTTGAATGCCACTTAGATTTTCCTTTATCAGTCATGTTGATGGTGACTTCAGGAAATTCATTCTCTTGAATAGCAAGCTTCTTGCTAAAACGTCTCGGTTTGGACTTTAACATTTCAGTAGAAAGTATCTGGAACACAGAAACTTTCGGCGGAATGGAAACGTCTCGGTTTGGACTTTAACATTTCAGTAGAAAGTATCTGGAACACAGAAACTTTCGGCGGAATGGCTTTAAAGCAGTTGCATTTGGACAACACTGCTTTGATAAGTTTTTCACATACACAATGACGATTCGTTTCTCGAACAGTCCTTTTATGTGATTTGTTTCCACCTTTAGTTTGATAGTACAACTCGTCAGCATGGTGACCAGAGCAACCTATCTTCTGTTTTTGTGTTTGAACCTTGTTAACATACCCAGGATGACTTGTCGTCGCCTCTGAGCGATCCAAGGTTATGTCAAGAGTCATACGTTTAGAACCACCCCCTTGCGGGTGTGGAGTCTTAACGGGCTCCGAATGCTGATTTTTTACAACTTCAGACTTTGGAATCCAAACTTGGCAGAGTTTCGGTGGTTCTTTGGCCACCGTTTCCTTCATCCTTTCTCGTCTTTGTTGTAAGAGAGCACGTGCATGAGCAGCGTTTGCACGACGTTTTTGTATACGTTCTTTAAGGGTCGAACGAGCCCTTTTGATAATAGTCCATTCCTCCGTCGTGAATTTAGCAGAGACATAAGTGATTGGTCGTTGAGACAACTGAACCACTCGATGCCTCCTCTACTCTAAGTCCGCATGATAACGAACTCCGTCGGGTTGCTCCAAGGCCTTAGCCATTTGGCGAGCGCGGCGTTGGCGTTGTCTCCGACGAGCTCTTTTCGTCAATGCCGACGGGCTTTGATTTAATGACTCCTTAATTGGAGAAGAGTCATTATGAGCAGAGAGGTTGTGAGTAGAATCCTCAGCAACAATTAAGCGAGAGTCTTCATCTGTAGTGTTTGACAACTTCAACAAATATGAAATCTTCCTGCATTTGCGAGGCGAGGAAGACTTTACAGATGAGGATGACAAATACTCCTCAAACTTCGCTTGGTCGAACTCGTACTCGACCGTTGATTCAACCGGGATCTTGATGGTTGGCTGCGACACGACGGTCTCGGCAGCGAGACCGTTGGCTCCCACTGTGGTCGCCAGTTTGTTTGCGTTAAAAGTTGACTTTGTCATGGAATTCATTATATCTTCGGTCGATTACAACAAATTCAAAAAAAAAGATAGCTTTTTTATAAGACTCCTTTTACACAACAAAAGGAAAAATTACAACTCTTGAGAAACAAACGCAGGATCGTTGTTTGGATCGCTGCTTGCGTGGGATCTTTGCCTGTGCCGGGAGCGCTTTGACTCGTGGACCACCAAATCACAGATTCTGATTGAATCGTGAGGGGTTTAATGATTCTTCCTTCGTTTATCGAAGTGAGAATTTGAAACGATATCTTATCAAAGTAAGATAGTCGTTCTTCTTAAAATCAAGTCAAAGCTCGAATCTCAAGGGATTGCCGAAAGCTCAAGAACTCTGCTCTGTCTGCTCTGAAGTGCTCAAAATGATCAGCCCTCTCTCAAAAATGGCCTTCGGGGGGTATTTATAACCCCTATGAACAGTTAGCGGAAAACACATCTCGCGAGACAGCATTTGCTGTCTCGGCTGCCGAGACAGTGTTTGCTGTCTCGGCGGCGAGACAGTGTTTGCTGTCTCGGCCGCGAGACAGTAAACACTGTCTGGAAAAGGAATATTCCTGGCAGTTTTCGTTGTAACTCCCCACGTTTCAAACTCCGTTATTTTGGCATTTATCACGTGATTCTCGCCCACGACGTTTTCCACGTTCTTGAATAGTTGTGGCCTACGTGTTGGCGTTTATGCAATAGTTTTTGACCCCGTGAGAGCTGTCTCACGTGCGAGACAGTAAATTCTGTCTCGCACGGCGAGACAGTAAAGCTGTCTCGCACGGCGAGACAGTAAGACTGTCTCGCACGGCGAGACAGTAAATCTGTCTCGCCGCGAGACAGTAAAGCACTGTCTCGCGTGCGAGACAGTCTATACTTGTGTTCTTTTTGACATTTTGGATGACTTCCTTTTGAGCTGCGCTTGGATATCTTTCAGCATTTTTTGACGCCTACACCAGATGCAAAAACGTAGGGTTCATCCCCAACATTCAAGTTCAAAACGCATGGTTCATCCCCAGCGTTCAAGTCTAGACGCAGAGCTCGTGGCCACATTCCCAGAACAAAATGCAGAGGTCCTCCCTACGTTGCAACATCAAAAACGCAGAGGTCCTCCCTGCATTGTAACATCCAAACACAGACTTCATTGCTGCATTTTCAGCCCAAAATGCAGAACCCAACTCTACGTTCCAAATCCAAAAAGCGGTGCAGCCACTGCATTCTGAGCCAACTAGAAATGCCCAACTTTGTGTTTCAGGTCTAAAACGCAGAGTTCGGCCCCGGAACGCTGTTTTCAGCGTTTGACTCATTCAAACACGAGTTGAACGGTTCCAGAAACTGTTTTCTCCCCACGATTTGAGGGATTTTCACCCCGCTTAGGAGCGGATTAAGGAGGGCGGTTACACCCCATTTCAATCCTATTATGGAGAGAATTAAGGGAGCGGTTACACCCATTAATTCTCTATAAATAGCTAGGAAATCAGCTTAGTTCGGATCCTTCGGCTTGGTAGCAAAGAAGAGATCTTTGGCTGACTTTTTGGGATCTTCGATCTGGAGTTTTGGAGATCAGCAACTTGGAGGAACTCTTGGATCATCTCAGAAGGGTTTTATTGAAGCCTTTGAGATTACTCGGCTTAACTTTTTGAACTCTTTCTAAGAGTTCTTCTCAACTCGATCAGAGTTAAAAGCTTGCTCTGCAAGTTCTTCTAAACTCGTTCAGAGTTCTTCAACTCGTCAAGAGTTTCAAACTTGTCACGCAAGTTCTCCTCAACGTCAATCAAGAGGAATCAACCAAAACGTTCCAGTAAAACAAGACGTTCGTATCATCAACGAGAAGCAAACTCAATACGAACATCAAGAGAGGCATCTCATCACCACCGTGAAGAACCCATAATTAAACAAAGGGGAGAATTTACATCAATTCTCTTCTTTTTTGTAATCGAAAATTCAAATTGTAATCGAGATCGAGAGAGTTGTAAACATTCTTTTTCTAAGTAGTTAGAGGGAATAAAATCAAATTCAATTCTTTCGATTGTCTCCTTACAAATTTTCCAACAAACACTCCTTATGGGACATTATTGAATTTGATGGCTATGCTCTCTTCAATTGTTCATGTGCTTGGAGATGCTGAAGAACATGGTACATATCAGCATCAAAGAGGTGAAGCACATCGTCTCTTAGAATTATTAGAGATATTTGATTTTGATTTTTTTTTTGCTTACATTTGATGTTCGAAACATTGGGGATCACAAATGAGTTGAATTCGGCTTTGTAAAAGAAAGATCAAGACATTGTAAATGCCATGGTACTTGTTGAAGTGGCAAAGGAAAGACTTGCAACAATGAGAGATGAAGGATGGGACACTCTCTTGAATGAAGCTCATGTATTTTATAACAAACATGAGATTCTTATTCCAAATATGGAAGATGCCCATGTTAAAGGAAGACGATGCAAAGCTTCACAAGACACCAATCTACACAATTATCAAGTTGACCTATTCTATCCAGTGATAGACATACAACTTCAAGAGCTTAATGGTCGTTTTAATGAGGTGAGTACTGAGCCTATTCTTTGTATTGCTTGCTTGAACCACAACGATTCATTTAGTCCTTTTAATGTAGAGAAGTTGCTTAATATGACTGAATTCTATCCATGTGGATTTTTCGATGTTGAGATCTTTGCACTTAAGAATCAACTTGACAATTATACTGTTGATGTGCATAGAGATGCAAGGTTTGCTAATCTGAAGGGAATAGGTGATCCTTCCAATAAAATAATGGAGACTTAAAAGTAAAATGTCTATCCTTTGGTTTATTTACTTTTAAAGTTGGCATTGATTTTACTCGTGGCGACGACAACTGTGGAAAGAGCTTTTTCTACAATGAAGTTGATAAAAAACAAGTTGTGAAATAAAATGACCGATGATTGGCTCAACAATTGCTTACTTACATATATCGAGAAAAATGTATTTGATAGTGTTACTAATGATACAGTTATGTACTTTTTTGAAAATATGAAACCCCAATGGGGACAATTGTAATTTTTCTAATTATTAATTATTAATTATATAGTGACATCACTTTCTGAAAAATCCTGGATCGACCACTAGCTCTACGGTGGAGTTTGAATCGAAGGCTAAGTGAGTTACTGATGAGTTAAATGGTGATAAAGATTGCTTATCTGCCTTTGGTAATGTTTGCAAGACTATTGAATTGGAGGCTTGCCATTTTCCTTTACATTGGTTTCCTTCACTCATAAAGAAGGAACATGTGTTATTATTGGATTTATTATTCTTACCCTGAGTTTACTGCTCAGGATATTAGTGTCAAACTGTCAATGTAGCTTCTATTGATCCTCATTAATACAATCTATTTTTTCTTTTTAAAAAAATCCACAAACTGTCGATTAGACTTCAACCCCGCGTTTCTTGGGCCCAAAGTTACCCGAGTCCAAATTGATCCGAAAGCTAACTCTAACCGCACGTGCTTTTTCTTATCGAATTCAAATATCCAAACATCACTATCCGAATCCTAATTCGAGTTTTCTAACTCTCCTTTTGTTCCACAAAAATCCTATTGTTTCCGAACCCTTTTGCCTTCTCCCTTGCCCTCTCACCTTCCTCTCGAGTCCCGTTACCACCCTCTCCTCCTCCTCCTCCTCTCACCGCTCAATCTCAGCCCTCCGATCAGCGATGGACGACAGCTGTGCGGTCTGCGCCGAATCCCTCGAGTGGGTCGCGTACGGATCTTGCGGTCACCGCGACGTTTGCTCGACCTGCGTCGTCCGCCTCCGCTTCGTTCTAGAGGATCGCCGATGTTGCATTTGCAAGACCGAATCCCCCTCCGTTTTCATCACCAAGGTATCGAAATGATCGATCGATCGGCCTTTTTAGGGTTTTCGTTTCGTAATTGCGATTCTAGGGTTTGTTTCTTGAACCTGAGCTTGGGATCAGCTTTTGCGATCAAGTGTTTCTCATAAAGGAAAAGTGTAGGGTTTTAATGATGTGAGCTAAAGGGTTCTTCAGGAGGAGCTAACCTTTGGAGATTGAATTGCGTTAGAAGTAAGAATTGTGATTCGTTATGTAATTCTAGGGTTTATTTCTTGAATCTGAGGTTGAGATTATATTCTGCGGTCAAGTTTTGCCCTATAATGGGGAATTGTATTATTATTATTATTTTGGATGCGAGATGATTACAAAATCAAACGCATAAGAACAAGGAAATTTCAAGAAATATATTAATAACACCCTAAATTAGTCATCGTTTTCATTACCATTTAGCTATAAAACTAACTGGATGTACCAGAAAATAGATTTATTTACACTAAATAGCCATTAGAGAGCTATAACTACTACCTAATTGCTTCAGGAACAAACTAAGCGGCTGTGAAACAGCCTAACAAGTTACGAGAGGAGATGAGTAGAGTGGATAGCTTTCTCAAAGAGAGCTTTTAAGAGGGTTAAGTGGGAGAAAATTGGCTGGATTTGGAGTGGGTTGGGCTTACATCATTTTTCATATTGTGAACTTTACGATTCCTTGGGAGAAGCAACTTCTTGGGCTTGAATTGTGTTACGAGTTGGAAGAGAGATATAGGCTATTTGAACGCATCTCTCATCTTGTCTAGATCTCTCACATCGTTTTTGGATAGCGTAATTTATCAAGATCCTAAAATTGTAAGGGATTTTTGAAATATGGGTTCTGTGTCTTGTTGATTAACATATAAAAAATGGGGAGTAAGTATGCATTGACTCGATGCTATAGACCAAAAGAGGTCAAACAAAATAGCATTGTGTAGTGCAGTTGCAGTCATGCAGACTATGGAACAAAACACGGGATGTTGCAACTTAATTGAAACGTATGGATTACTCTACAACAATTAAGAGTGGGATGCACATGTTATGTTGATCAGTGTAGATGAGTTTATTGAACTGAACTTCTGAAAGCAATGAGGATCAATTTATGAGTATCTTCAAATATGAAAAAAAGATGTATGCGTTCTGTTTCAACAAATTCTATTGAGTTAGGCACACGACTCATCCAAAATCATGTGCAACGTGTTTTTTGGAAATTTGTGTGCCGATATAAAGAAAAACATAGCCACAGTTGTTTTTGGTCCTAAATTCAGCCTGACGGTTTTGAGCTGTTGTACCATTTGACGATGTCACCTGGTCTTTGTTGGAGTTGAGTTTGACTCTTAAGCTTTTTTTTAATGAAACTTTTTGGAGAAGTCCTGGGTATCTTTCTTTTAAAAAGGCGGAGTTCTTAATCGCTAGAGGAGGAGCAATCGTGTTGTTACTGAAGTCGTTTGCCATTAAACCTTCCAGTTCCAATTATGGAAAAACACATGCTTTAAAAAACCACAAGCAAAAGATGAAGGAGAAAGGAGACAGCCCTTATACTACTTATGAGAGAGGTGTTCAACACAATAAAATGAACAATAAATCTTCCGCGTATTGTATTTGTCAGAAGATCTTGAAATGAAATCAACAAAAAGGAAGAGACCAAAGGGATTTTTCATTCTCTAAGTACCTTACATCCCCACTTCAGTATCCAACTTTGAGCGGGTTCCTCCAAATTCTTTATCATGTTTATACGGCTAAACTATAATGCATTAGAGTTGTTTTGTTTTCCCAATTCATGAGCTTGTTTCTTACAAGTACCATATGTGACTAAGGGGCTTTAATTATCATTTTTTTTTATTTTAACTCTTAAGAGATTTAGGATTCCATTATTCCAATCTCTGTGGTTTGAGTATATATGTGTGTGCATACATTATTTTATTCTTCTGTTTATGGGGTTGGAGTTTGGAAACACTTTGGCTCGCAATTTGTTCGAGGATTAGGATTATTTTCTGCTTACATAATGCAATTGAAGAAGTAACTTGCACTTGCACTTATTGACTTTCTGATAAATTTCTGCCATATGTCATTATTTTCTGGTCATTTGCTCCAACTAAAATTTGACAACCATTCACGCATATGCTTGTTGTAATGCACAGTTGGTATATCCTCACATCAGATAGCTGATCTATTGCTGTTCATGTGTTTTTTTTTGTTTAAATACTGTGATGCCTCCTTGTCCACCTATCACATGTTGTACATATCCTAATTCAGGACATGTCTGGTTTTTAGATTTTCTCTCAATAATGTCTTCACACTTCCTGTTTAAATGAACAAAATTTTACTGATTGTTTTTTGTCTTCACAGGCATTGGGTGATTATACAAGGATGATAATGGATTTTTGTGCATTTCCTGATATTGGTACCATGAGGGTTCGCAAGCATATTTTGATGATGTGGAACATTATCGGATGATAAAGGCAATGTGTAGGCTTTCTTGCAGCATTTGTGATAAGAGCACAGAGGAGCAAGGTAATGAGAACATGAGGAGAAGGAACAGATTCAGACATATAGAGCAGTTGAAAGGCCATCTATTTCATCAGCATCGGATGTTTATGTGCAGCCTGTGTTTAGAAGGGAGGAAGGTAAAGTGCCATTTTAACTGGTTATACGTGTCTGAGTTGCCTTTGAGTGCCTCTTCATTTCTGCTTGTTGATTCTTGACCAAGTAATGATAATTATATGATGTATTGGATGGTTTTCATTGTTACATATGTTTCACTTCTTTTTCTTGTCCTAAGGACAGTGGTCTGATAGACATTGAATCATTTTTTGAATGGTTGTCTAATCTTCTTAGCATTTACTACAATGTTTGTACTTGTGTGGACAATTCTCAGTTCCATTTGAAGGAAATGAAAAAGTGTTAATTGCGCACACCCCTGTAGTATCAATGAGTTGCAATTACTACCCCTTTTGTGCACAAGCCACAAACACCCCCTGAACATAATAGCGTCTAGCCTCTGTTATTTTGAGTTGTGCTCTTATATGGTTGGACTTATCTTTAACCCATCTTCTTCTCTCATTTTACTCTCATTGCTCTCACGAAGAAGCCATTAAAACCTATTGTAGCTCCATTGTATCTACCATCTAAATTTTGGAAGTCTTATGTAAGGTGATAAGCCATTGAATTTTAAGCTCATTTGATTGCTCCATCTTTCTTAGCATCACCAAAATTCGAACTTAGACATTCTAAGTGAAGCAACATTCTCATGCAATATAAAAATCCCAATGCAGATATGACTATGAGGAATCATATCCATTACCAAAAGAGCTTCCAAGAAGAGCATGAAAGCAACATTCTCATGATCTGACACAATTATACTAATTAGATGATACAAAATGAACAAGAAGGTTAAGATTAACCTTCAAACTATGGTGAAAACATAATATTTTCTAAATATTTTACAGCAAATTATAGTTATAATGTAGAAAACTAAACAAATTATTTGCTAAGGTAAGAAGACTATGCTCAACAACCTTCACAATTGGAACCCAGTCATACCCAGTTGAATACAACCATGCTCAATCATAATCAAGACCTTTACCTTACATAAATGTAATTTGGCGAAGTTTAACCAAAAGAATCTGCTAAATCAAAAAAGACTCGTAACCTGAAGATTATATCATAAGCAATGAAGCATAGAATTCGACACTCCAAAACCAGGCAAACAACACCCATTTTGGCTCAGTTCAGGCAAATTATGGTGACAAGGTAGCAAGGTTTTGAATATCAATTATCGAAAATATATCGGACTACCAAAATTCATACTGGATCCCGATTATTAGGATATATTGGGATAAGTAGTAAAATCGGAGTGTTATATCATAGGGTGAGCATATATAATATAATGCCTTAAAATGTAATCTAAGCACATTTAATGAAAAATAAACATAGTAATCTGCCAATAACACATGTTTAGGATTATTTGCCAATTGTTTTTATTTAGTGGATGCGAAATAGAATAGGATGGAAAAAGAGGGATTTTGTCTCCAAACCCGAACCAGTTCACTTAGAATGTAAATTGTAGAAAATCAAGCGATTTTTAGTCCATGATAAATTGACCGCTTTATCGGATTTACAACGATATATCAAGGTAAATCAGCCCAAAACTATATGCAATATATTTTTGCAAAATCGTATCGGCCATAACCCAAACCCTGCATATCGTGATAAATAGATAAAATCGGCCTATTTTTAAAACACTACAAGGTAGAATTAAATTACCTTTAAACTACATGAAATAGAGAAAAACAATTATTAAATATGTAAAACTTGAATTTTTTTACAAAATAGAGTTCAAATCGAGAGAGAAGTTACCTTGAAAAACCCCCTTGTTTGGAATCGACCCTAGACTTCAGTTATCCCACTGCTGACTTTGTCAAACAAGTTAGACAACGGAGATTTTATCATCGAACCAACTTGTTGAAGGATTTTGCTGCGGGTGGCAGTCACAGTCATCAATTTAGGGGGAAACGATGGGAAAGAGGAAGTCAAAAAGAAACAGTAAAAAAATAAGTTTTGAGATAAGCTTTGATTTCCATTGAGGGCTATTATTGTAAATTGTCATCACATGTGTCGCGTGTGCAACCCGAAGATAACAAAGATTATATGGTGTTCGGTTCCCATGGGTGTTAGTGCACAAATACTACTATAGAGGCAGTAAATGGATAAATGCAATTTATGAATAGTATACTACATGGGGTGGGTTCACAATTAACCCATGAAAAAACATACTTGATTTGTCTAGCTATACTTGTGTTACTGTTAATGTTACTATAACGGGAATTATTTTATTAGTTATGTATTCCATTACTTGTCTTAGTAAAAATCATGCACAATTGAAATACTATCCTTGGCTGACAGCTTTTAGAGTTTCTTTTGGTTTTTTTTAATTTATCTGTCTTGATAGTGGGTCCTTAGGCTGTTTGTCAGGCCTTGAGAAACAAAAAAAGGGGTTTCATACTGATCGAGAAAAAAGTCTTTATTGGACTTGATACATAAAATATCAAGGGATTTCTATTTTTCTCGTTTTATTTAGTGGTAATTAGGGCAACGAATGCAGTAATGCTATTATATTTGACATGCCCAAACTGCCATATGCACTGACTGAATTTTAATTTTAGATTGCAGGAGTTTGTTTTTAACTTGTCCTTTTTTGGCTCATGTGAGTGGAGTGTATGGTGTTGAATGCAGTCTTTGGTAAAATTTCATGGTTGTTACGATTAATGATGGATGGAAATTCCATGAAGACTGTCAATAGGTTGATTTGTTGAACGCTACTTGTTAATTAGCCTCCATTCACACATTTAGTATGAATTTATTTAGTGGGTTAGCAGAAATTTATTTTTGTCATTTGGCCAACTTTCCAGTACACAACTGAAACTGCACTTGTGTTATTAGAAGTAATCCAAATTGGTGGCATACTCTTGAATTACATTGTATTTTCTTCTATATTACCTTCTGGTACATATTTGATCTTAAATGAAATAAATATTTTGTGGAGGTTTCCAGTTTTCAATAATTTGGGCTTCAATAGTTGCCAAAAGGAGATATACATTAGCATTTAGCATCAATCACCTATTTTTGGCAATCTGGTAGTGCTCTGTACTTCCATGCTTTCTTATCCATATAAGTCATCAGTAATTTTTTACGTTCTTTAACCTTATCGTTCTCCTGTCCATGTATTCCATGTTATGGGGTATATTTCTGATTTGATTTTCTGCTCCAGATATTTATTTCTGAGCAAAAGTTGTACACCAGATCACAACTGCAGCAACACATACACACTGGTGATTCTGAAGTGGATGGCTCTGAGAGTGAGCGTGGTGGCTTTATGGGGCATCCTATGTGTGAGTTTTGCAGAAACCCATTTTATGGGGATAATGAACTATACATGCATATGTCGACAGAGCATTATACATGTCACATATGTCAAAGGTATGTTTTTGTTTTTCTGCTTTGAAATGGACCTATCAGTGGCCTAGAGATTATAACTATTCATCTCTTCTGACAATGATATGCAGGCAACATCCTGGGCAATATGACTATTTTAGAAATTACGATGACTTAGAGGTACATTTATGTTCTGATGTCATTTGCTTATATTATTTTTAAGAAGCTGATAAGCTTAAACAAATTTGTATTTGATGACATCTAGTAGCAAGATGGTCGTGCCATGTGTAACCTTTTTGGCATGTAACATGATTGCTTAAAATGAAAGAGGACAAAGAAAAGAAAGTGTTTATTGTCATGTTATCTGCAAAGCACTAAAATATGTCATTCGTCCATGCACCATTTTGGACTTAAAGAGTTATTTTGAGAATATAAGTTTATTTGTTTTGGTTAATTTACGTGTTATCTGATTAGGGCTTATCTTTACAATATCTATAGACCCACTTCCGGCAAGAGCATTTTCTGTGTGAGGACGAGGCATGCCTGGCAAAGAAGTTTGTTGTATTTCAATCAGATGCAGAAATGAAGGTGATGTCATTATTAAATCTAGAGCATTTAACAGATATCTCCTTTGCATTTTAGGACTGCAGCCTTCCTGTACTTCAACTGCTATTTTTGTCAAAATTTATTTTACTAACATTCTTCATTACCTATCCTTTTTAAACAGAGGCATAATACAATTGAACATGGTGGCCACATGTCTCGCTCGAAGCGAAATGCTGCACTTCAGGTAAGCAGATTCTTTTTTAGTTCTTGTTGGAACGTACTTGGGCGTTGCTAGAAATTCATATAAGAACTTTTTGTCATAAATTGGTTGGGTGCACATAGGTCTCACTAAAATATGAATCAGACGATCAGCTAATACAAAGTCCAGTCAAGATTCACTGTTAGCTTTGAATTGAATTCTGTCATGCATTTCCATGGGACGACTTCTGGTGTAGTTGTCACCCTTGCATTTTTTTTAAATACTTGAGCGGTGTGTTAAAACATAAAACATCCTTCTTGCATATGAAATAATGAAATCATGTTGAGATTCTGACCTAAATCTCCAGTTCAGTTATTAAATATTATATACCTCTATTTATATTATGTGGGTTAAATTTTACTTTTAACCTTGTTCTCCTTTTTCCACATTCCACTCGTGTTTAGATACCAACTAGCTTCAGATATCGGCGGGGTAATGATCAAGATCAGCGGCGGGGAAGAGGACGAGGTTTTCGTCCCGATCCATCTAGCAACGAATTATCGACCGCGATTCAAGCTAGCTTGGAAACAGCAGCTGCAGATGTCAGGGCTCGTGAATCTTCTTCTATTGCTCAACCTGTTAGTGACCCCGGTTCAGATGCAGCTCCAAGTTCTTTAGCAGCCAACAGGCAAAGCTCTAGAAATGCTCATATTTTGGATGAATCTTATTTCCCTCCTCTATCAGATAGAGAGCCACCAGAGCCATCATCTCGGTATGCTCAGGCTCTTAGCCTCAGGAGTTCTGCCAGACTTGGAGAAGAACTGTTTCCACCTCTCCCTGGTGTGAGAGAGAACAACAAATCCAAACAGGCAGAAGGCTCGGGGAGCAGTACTCTTGCTTCCCGTCTCAATCGAAAGAAAGGCACTGTGAAGGTTCTTAATACTGCTCAAACTAAGCCATCAGGAACTCAGCATCTCGGTCCATCTAATTCTGCAAGTTTTCCTGAGCTTAGACCCATGATACAAAATCAAGGTTCTACGTCATCCACAACTAATTCTAAACCACAGGCCAAAGTAAGCAAGGCAGCTAAAGCATCAAGTTCAGTGAGAGGGAATGGCTTTTCAACTCCGCCCCCTGGTAATGTTGCATGGAACTCGGTCAGCGGAAACAATAGTATGAGGCATTCATCATCGGCTCCTAATCTTGTTGATGCTCAAAGACCGACTCCAATATCTAATCCCGTTTCTGCTACTGTTGGAAACCAAGTTCTGCCAAGAGTGGAGGATGTGCACACAGCAAACAAGTCTCTTGTAGAGCGAATACGCATTGGGTTAGGGAACGATGAAGAAAGATACGCAGCATTCAGGAGCATATCTGCTGAGTACCGTCAAGGCCAAATGAACACTTGGGAATACATTTCTTATGTTGAGCAGTTTGGTTTGATGCATCTCGTGCCTGAGCTTGCTCGGCTCTTGCCTGATCCTCAGAAACAGAAGGAGCTCATCGATGCCTACAACACTAATGTTCGGAATCAGGCTGTTCAAGAAAATGGTGTACTTGATGCTGGTAGCTCAAGAGAAAGCAAACAACGAAAGAAGAAGGGAAAAGGAAAAGGTATCGATCATGCTGATTACCCTAAAGGAAAAGAAGAATTGGCTGATAATTTTCTCGATACAGTAAGGAAACTCCAACTGAATCAGAAGGCTCAGGGAGAAGAGGTGGAGGTTTTGTTGAAGGATGGGTATCGAAAGGCCAACTCCATTTCTAGCTCGAGTGTGAATTTGAGCAGTAGCAGTGGAGAATCGCTTCTTGGTGCTATGAGCTCTGGTAAAAGCAGTAAACCCCATGGGAAGACCTCAAAATTTCATAGATCACGTCTCGGTGATAATTCACCTGCTGCACTGCTTAATCTTGGCCGTCCAAATGCAACTAGCCCCGAACACAGAGTAGAGGAATCTAGTGACAGACCACCTGAGGGTTTACCAGTTCGAGGAGTTTGGAAGAGCAATGGTGCACAACAGCTCTTTTCAAAGAAGTAGTTATATGATTTTGTGAAATTTTTCGTACAAGTGAGAGGGTAAAAAAAAAGTTGGATGGGTTGATCTATACCAGGTTCTAGGCTTTTTGGAGTTTGGCCCCTCACTCTGGGGGCTAAGAAGCTGTGTACTTTTTGTGTAGTGGGTTCTTTTTTTTTTAACAGTGGAAGAGACATCAGGCAAATTGTGGATATTGCTCAAGGTGTTGGGTTGGGTTTGAAGAAACTTCTGGCATGAGGCTTGGTACTTAAGCATAATGTTTAAAGAAGTAAATTATTCTGGAGAAACTTGAATTGCTGTGAAATTACTTGTGAATTGTTCGCAGCCATGACTTGTTAAAGGCATGGGTTTTTGAGTCAGATGAGTAAGAGATGTTATATGAAATACTTGTTATTATCTTAGGACTACGGTCGTATTTTGTTAATGGTTGCTGGGGCCCTCGTTCTGTTTGATTTCTGATGTAGCTGGCCTCAATGTTTATGTCGTTTTTTTTATTACTGTCGACATGATTGTTGTCAAGGTTTTATCTGACGGACTAAAAGCAATCTAGAGAACCGTGGTTTCTGAACAGCTGCCGATGGCTAAATCCTGCCTTTTTCATATTTATGTTCATTTCGTATTTTGATTATAATGTTGCAGCAAAATTTCCAGAGGCGTTTTTATTGGCTTTACCATATTCATTTTTTGGTTATAATATTGCAGTGATATTCCCGGATGAGTTTTTACATCCATGCTTAATGTATGGTAGCGGGGGTCGATGTTAACAGACCTTATGCCCTTGACGTAGCTTGTAGTTATTGAATACTAAAGGTGAAACTCAGCGCTATTAGAAATCCAAAGCTCATAATGTGATATTACTATACATGATGTCAGTCTCCTCCTTGGTCTTTTTCTTCAGGTTTCCTCTTTTTTTTTTTTAATGGCTAATTGCGAAAAGAACCCATGTGCGTCTTACCATGAACTGCTACTCTTAAATTAGCTCTTGGATTTCTTTGGTATTATCTTGATCCAAAATTGTTACTTCCAAAAGTCGGGGTTGCAAGACGTATCAGTTTAGTTCTAAACTGGTTTAGTTTTAAACCAGAGGGGTAGGTGGATCAATTATGAATGCGCTCAATGTTAGGCTACACGCCAACAAAAACGTGGAATCACAGAATAAAATCAGCAGACAAATTCAATCATAGTACTCACAAATATAACGTGGTTCACTCTTACGGAGCTACTCCATGGTAAAACGACGACGCCCAATTTCTTTATATTCATTTCCGAGGTTACAAAGAAAAGATCGAAGAGAAAACCCTCTCTTGATCAAGATACTCTCCAATAATTCTCACAAACTCTCTATGTTTTCTCTCTCTCTTCTATATGAGGAATTGTTTCTGAGATGAATTTTTTCTGAAAAGTTTTGGGCCTATTTTTAGTGTTTCCTTTTTTTGAGAGGAAAAGGTGGGGAAAGCCTGCTAAAAGTGCAGCTTTTGGCGGGCTTTCCACCCAAATCTCCTCTAAAAGAGACGATTTGGGTGGAAAGTCTGCCAAAAGCTGCACTTTTGGCAGGCTTTTGGTAGGCTTTCTCTACCTTTCCCTCTCAAAAAAAAGTAAACAAACAGCCCCTTAGCTTTGAAATAAATACATTCTAGACCCTTATAAGTTTTTTATTTGCCCTCCATAATTTTAAAATATTTGCACCCTATTTGAATTTAAACACGCTGAAGTTCTTTTTTTTTTTACTGCTTAGATACTTGACATTCATATATCCCCTAAGAAAGTTCTTTTTTTTTTTTATACTTTTGAATCTGCACTGCTCAGGTCAAAATCAGCCAGAACGACCAGTGTTAGTCATGGTCAAATTATTTGTCAAACTAGGAGCAGGGCTGGAACTATTTTTGTGAGCTAAACAGTTTAAGCGGAATATATATATATATATATTTATATATATATATATATTATATATATATAATATATATATATATATGTAATTAGCTGAAACCAATACACAGATATTGCAGTACTAACAGTCAAGCTCCAGACAGAAAAGCCAATACAAGCCACATGAAATATAGACCAAATTAACTTCTGAAAAGAGACCAGTAGCCTAGATCTCTCCCGTAAAAAGCACATTACAAATGCATATATATAATAAAACAAACACACGCGCACAGAGCACCAACCCTTACTACTACTACTAACACAACGCCTAGCCATTTTCACGGCTGACCATCCCGGAAAACCGCCACCGGATCCGCCACCAGGCACCGTTGGGATACCAAACGACGGAATTCCTCCCCCCGGAACCAACGGGCTCCCACTGCCGAACCCGGGCTGTCCGAGCCCGAGCCCAATCCCAGGGAGCAAGCCCGTGCCGGTCCCTAGAGGAGGCCCACCGGGAAAGCCCGGGAAAGTCTGGGGCTTGTACTTGGGCTCACCCTTGAGTTGCCTCGCTTCAAGAGTCACAAGAGAAGTTGCTAGCATGAGAGCGAGGACCATCACCACCTTAGTAGACTTCTCCATGTCAATAGATTCTTAGATTCTTATGTCTTTGTCTTAGAACTCTCAAGCTCGCCTCTCCTTATATAGCGAGAGAAAAGGTTTTGTTTGTTGGGGTTTTAAATTGGCCCGTCACCTTCCACCGACTACATCACATTGGTGTTTTTATGATTCTACTATTTGCTAGTAAACACTCGCATGTGATTGCTTTGATTGTTTTCCAACTTTGATTGTTTTCCAACTAAGGCAGCTAGTTAGTTTGGAGCTCATTATTTTGATTAAAGAGGTTAACTTGGTGATGTGAGAAGTTGCGACTGTGAGAGTTCCCTCGTATTGCAACAAATACCCTAAAATTATGGTGAGGATTGAGAGTTATTATTCTACACCGTAACACCAAACCTCTTTTATAGGTTAAAATTTGGACTCATAAAGCATTTCTCAATTGAAGATAGACCCTTTTATATATATAGTAGTTCAATTTGTGTAGACAGACCTTCTGCGTGAAATTTTTTTAGCACTTAAAAAGAGTGATTTTTTTTTTTTTGAGGAGCTATATATATAGTCTAAATGTAACTCTATTGGTGATGATATGACTCCAACTGCTAAATTTTTTATTCTTAAAAGAGTTGAAAAAAAAATCATCGAGATCTACCTGCAATTGGGCGATACTACAGAATATCTATTCGCAATTAAACTTTATTTTTAAAATTAACTTTAAATTTGTGGTCAATAAGATTTGAATATATGTTACTATTATACAAATAATTGAATGTTCCTTCTGCTACATCAAACTCTGAATTGTCTCTGAATTATGGTAAGAATTGAGAATTAAACTCTATACTCTAACAGTAGCAATGTTCTGACCATAGTTTTAAGAAAATATGGTCATTTAGGCAAAAGTTTTGTGACTTCAATTTCTCAACATCCAACAACAAGGTAGTGGTTGAGGGTTGATTGGGAGGTGACGTGAGGGTTTAATGCAATCTGCCACCTGCAAGGGCTTTTCGCATACAAAGGAGTATGGTGGAGCTATAACTCCACATAACTTGACAACTGGCTAGTTTTGAGTAGAGGTACTGTAGCAGGCTCTAGGTTATGGTCCCCTTCTCTTTATCAAGTGACATTCTATCCTAGGTTCTCGTATTGTCAGATTTAACAACCAAAATATGATAACCCCAATTTAATGCCATTATATGATGATGCTCTGCAATGTAGTAAATTTCTTCATCATCCCCATACCATAGGTCTTGAATGATTGCGAGAGGTTTTTACAATTGGTATTGTGGTTATCAACTACTTTTTTTTTTCTTTTCAAGAAAAAATAGAGTAGCAAAATGCCCTACTCACTTCTTTACATTATCAGAAATAATATAGAAATAAGGGAAAATTGTGTCGAGACCCCAAAAGTAGAAACTTCATGTGACGATGCCCTTTTGTATTCTACCACATGTGGATAAGCCCCAAATACACACAATATTTGTGACGATGCCCCAAAGTATTAGATTTCAAAAAAAGCCCAATGGAAGTTACGAACTTGCCTCTTTGATGGGACTGAACTTGGTTACTGCGCCCCTCCCTATTTATTCCCAATTTCTCCATCATTAATTACATCTCTCTCTCTCTCTCTCTCTCTCTCTCTCTCTCTCTCTCACACACACTCTCTCTCACTTCCGCCATGGCCACTGGAAATGATCAGGCGCTGGGAGGCCGTGGGCGGCGAAGGCGAGGACGGTGGTCATGGAGTCGGAGATCGGAGACGTGATTAGGCCTGAGGGCTGGGCCATCTGGGACGGGGCCGACTTCCACCAGACCTGCTACTACACAGAGTACAACAACAAGGGGCCCAAACGGCAACCCCAGGCCCAGGACCGAGTGGGTCAAAAAGCACGAGCACATCAACAAAGAGGCGTCCCTCTTCCTGATCGAGAACTGGCTGGGGGATGTCACCTGGCCGAGGGACGCCGCAACCAAGTTTATCAACGGCTTCGTCAAGAGCTAGTTAGTTTAATCAAATCGCTAGCTAGGTTGTTAATTAAAAGCTCGATTGGCTTGGATCCATCGTACATTAAGCACGTTGGGTTTTAGTTTGTTATCTTGAATTTTTATTAATTATTTTATCATGGAAATTTTTTTAAAACATTTTATTTGTAATTGTTTCCGAAAATTATAAATGAAAAGTGATGTGAATTACTCTCCTCTTTTATCGTTGTTATTGCTTATTTATTATCAGTTCTTTCTTTGATTTGTTGTGGACGTGGCCGAAGCCCTGATTGGGAATAAGATCTCAAGGCAACAACATCAAACAATAATAGAAAAGAATGTCAGTTCTACTTCCAGCTAGTATTCTTTCTAGTGGTATGTTAGTTTTAGTTGAGCCTCTGTTAGTTCTAATGACTCTCGTGTTAGTTCTAGCTGATGTCATGTTAGTTCTAACTTCTAGCTAGTGTTATTTCTAATATAAACGTTAGTTCTAGTGGTATGTTAGTTCTAGTTGAGCCCATGTTAGTTCTAGTGATTCTCGTGTTAGTTCTAGCTGATGTCATGTTAATTCTAATTTTCAGCTAGTGTTATTTCTAATATAAGCGTTAGTTCTAATAGTATGTTAGTTCTAGTTGAGTCCATGTTAGTTCTAGCGGTTCTCGTGTTGGTTCTAGCTGATTTCATATTAGTTCTACTTCCAGCTAGTGTTATTTCTAATATAATCGTTAGTTCTAGTAGTATGTTAGTTCTAGTTGAGCCTCTGTTAGTTCGAGCGATTCGCGTGTTAGTTCTATCTGATTTCATGTTAATTCTACTTACAGCTAGTGTTATTTATAATATAAATGTTAGTTCTAGTGGTATGTTAGTTCTAGTTGAGCCCATGTTAGTTCTAGCTGTTCTCGTGTTAGTTCTATCTGATTTCATGTTAGTTCTACTTCCAGCTAGTGTTATTTCTAATGTAAGTGTTAGTTCTAGTAGTATGTTAGTTCTAATTGAGCCCTTGTTAGTTCTAGTGATTCTCGTGTTAGTTCTAGCTGATGTCATGTTAGTTCTAA